CCCTTTTTTTCTTTTTTGGCCTGTGGATGTCCAGTTGTTCCAGCACTATTTGTTGTACTTTGCTCCATTGTATTGCTTTTGTACCTCTGTCAAAGGATAATCAGTTGAATATATTAATATGAGTCTGTTTGGAGGCTGGCTGTTCTGTTCCATTGATCTATTTGTCCTTTCACTGATGACTTGATGACTAACTTTATAGTAAGTCTTTAAATTGAGTAGTTTCAGACCTCTAACATTGTTCTCCTTCAGTATTGTGTTGGCTATTCTGGGTCTTTGCTTCCCCATATAAACTTTAGAATTCGTTGATATCGGGGCACCTGGGTGGCTCAGTCGGTTAAGCATCTGACTTCTCAGGTCATGACTTCATGGTTTGTGAGTTTGAGCCCTGCATCGGGCCCTGTGCTGTCAGTTCAGAGCCTGTAGCTTGCTTTGGATTCTGTGTCTCCCTTTCTCTCTGCCCCTCCCCCACTCACACTCTGTTTTTCTCTCTCAAAAAATGAATAAATGTTAAAAAAAATTAATAATTGGTTGATACCCACAAGAAAACTTACTGGATTTTTATTGGGATTGCATTGAATTATAGATCAAGTTGAGAAGAACTGATATCTTGACAATATTGAGTCTTCTATCCAGGAACATGGAGGATGTCTCCATTTGTAGTTCTTTGATTTCTTTTGTTAGAGGTTTGTAATTTTCCTCATATAGATCTTGTATATATTTTGTTAGATTTGCACCTAAGTATTTCATTTGTTGGGGTGCTAATGTAAATAGTATTGTTTTTAATTTTCCAATTATTTGTTACTATTATATAGAAAAGTGCTATAATTGCTTATTAGTCCAGAAGTTTTTAAAAGATTTTAGATGATGATTCTCTCAGATTTTCTACAGAGATAATCACATCATCTGTGAACAGACATAGTTTTATTTCTTCCTTCTCAGTTTATATGCCTTTATTTCCTTTTCTTGTCTTCTTGAGTTAGCTAGAATTCTAGTACAGTGTTGGGAAATCTATACACATTTAATTTTATTTTCTTGTCCTACTGCATTGGCTACAACCTCAACATGTTGAAAAAGAGTGGTGAGAGGAGACTTCCTGCCTTGTTCCTGATCTCAGAGGGAAAGCTTCTAGTTGCTCATCATTAAGAATAATGTTAGCTGTACGTATTTTATAGATATTCTTTAAGATATTCCCTATCTACTTGTAGATTACTGAGTTTTTTAAAAAAAATTTTAACATTTATTTATTTTCAACAGAGAGAGACCGAGCATGAGCGGGGGAGGGGCAGAGAGAGAGGGAGACCCAGAATCCGAAGCAGGCTCCAGGCTCTGAGCTGTCACCACAGAGCCCAACACGGGGCTTGAACCCACTGACTGTGAGATCATGACCTGAGCTGAAATCGGATGCTCAACCGACTGAGCTACCCAGGTGCCCCTAGATTACTGAGTTTTTATTATGAATGCCCTGTTGGATTTTGTCAAGTGCTTTGCATCTGTTCATAACATTATATGATTTCTCTTCTTTAGCCTTCGATATGATGCATTAAATTAGTTGATTTTATAAATTGTATTTATTTATGTATTCAGCTCCATGCTGGCTAATGCATGGGCTTGAACTCATGATTCTGAGATCAAGATCTGAACTGAGATCGAGTCAGCTGCTTAACTGACTGAGCCACCCAAGTGCCCCTAATTGATTTATTTTAAATGGTGAACTAAGGTGCGCCTGGGTGGCTCAGTTGATGGAGGGTCCAACTGTTGATTTCAGCTCAGGACATGATTTCAGTGTTGTGGGATTGAGCCCTGAATCAGGCTCTGTGTTCTGTGTGGAGCTTGCTTAAGATTTTCTCTTTCCCTCTCCCCCTTCCCCTGCTTGCTTGCTCACTCTCCCTCTCAAATAAAAATCAAAAAATAAATGGTGAACCAGCTTTGCATACTTGGGATAAATCCCTTGGTGGTGGTATATAATACTTTTTTGCACATTGTTGTAAATTATTTTTACCTATTTTTAATATATTGCATATATGTTCATGAGAGATACTGGTTTCTAGTTTTCTTATGATTTTATTTGGTTTGATGTTAGGGTAAAATTGGCCTCATAGAGTGATTTAGGAAGTATTCCCTTTTTCTGTTTTCTGAAAGAGATTGTAGAAAATGGATATACTTAATATTTTTTTTACGTTAGGGAGAATTCATCAGTGAATTCAAGTAAGCCTTTTGCTTTCTGTTTTGGAAAGTTACTGATTATTGGCTTCATTTTTAAAATAGATACAGGCCTTTTCAGACTTTTTCGTGTATGAAATTTGGCAAATTGTGTCTATTTCATGTAGGTTATCAAATTTGTGGGCATAGAGTTGTTCATAGTATTTCTTTGTTGTCCTTTTAATGTCTGGAGTTTGTAGTAATGTCTTCTTTCCTTTCTGTTATTTGTCATTTGTGTCTTCTCTTTTTTTCTCAGTTAGCCCAGCTAGAGACTTACCAATTGTTTTGAACTTTTCAAAGAACCAGCTTTTGGTATTACTGGTTTTCTCTATTACTTTTCTGTATCCAGTTTCTTTGATTTCTGTTCTGGTTTTTATTATTTCTTCTCTTCTGATTTCTCTGGATTTGATTTGGTCTTCTACTTTAAGTTGTTAGCTGATTGATTTTATTTTATTTTATTTTATTTTTGAAGATTTTATCTTATCTAAAAAATTTTTACATCCAAGTTAGCATGCAGTGCAACAGTGATTTCAGGAGTAGATTCCTTCATGCCCCTTACCCATTTAGCCCATCCACCCTCCACAACCCCTCCAGTAACCCTCTGTTTGTTCTCCATATTTAAGAGTCTCTTATGTTTTGTTTCCCTCCCTGCTTTTATATTATTTTTGCTTCTCTTCCCTTATGTTCATCTGTTTTGTATCTTAAGGTCCTCATATGAGTGAAGTCATACGATATTTGCCTCTCTCTCACTGATTAGTTTCGCTTAGCATAATATCCTCTAGTTCCATCCATGTAGTTGCAAATGGCAAGATTTCGTTCTTTTTGATTGCCGAGTAATACTCCATTGTATATATACACCAACCACATCTTTATCCATTCATCCTTCGATGGACATTTGGGCTCTTCCCATACTTTGGCTATTGTTGATAGTGTTGCTATAAACATTGGGGTGCATGTGCCCCTTCGAAACAGCATACCTGCATCCCTTGGATAAATACCTAGTAGTGCAATTGCTGGGTCATAGGATAGTTCTATTTTTAATTTTTTGAGGAACCTCCATACTGTTTTCCAGAGTGGCTGCACCAGTTTGCATTCCCACCAACAGTGCAAAAGAGATCCTCTTTCTCTGCATCCTTGCTAACATCTGTTGTTGCCTGAGTTGTTAATGTTAGCCATTCTGATAGGTGTGAGGTGGTATTTCCTTGTGGTTTTGATTTGTTTTTCCCTGATGATGAGTGATGTTGAGCATTTTTTTCATGTGTTGGTTGGCCATCTGGATGTCTTCTTTGGAGAAGTGTCTATTCATGTCTTTTGCCCATTTCTTCACTGGGTTATTTGTTTTTTGGGTGTTGAGTTTGTTAAATTCTTTATAGATTTTGGATACTAACCCTTTATCTGATATATCATTTGCAAATATCTTCTCCTGTTCCGTCGATTGCCTTTTAGTTTTGCTGATTGTTTCCTTCACTGTGCAGAAGAAGTTTTTTATTTTGATGAGGTCTCAATAGTTCATTTTTGCTTTTGTTTCCCTTGTCTCCAGAGACGTGTTGAGTAAGAAGTTGCTGTGGCCAAGGTCAGAGAGGTTTTGCCTGCTTTCTGATTGAGGATTTTGATGGTTTCCTGTCTTACTTTTAGGTATTTCATCCATTTTGAGTTTACTTTTCTGTATGGTGTAAGAAAGTGGTCCAAATTGATTTTTCTGCATGTCGCTGTCCAGTTTTCCCAGCACCACTTGCTGAAGACATTGTCTTTATTCCATTGGCTATTCTCTCCTGCTTTGTCAAAGATTAGTTGGCCATATGTTTGTGGACCCACAATAGGTTCTCTATTCAGATCCATTGATCTGAGTGTCTGTTTTTCTGCCAGTACCATACTGTCTTGATAATTATAGGTTTGTAATACAGCTTGAAGTCTGGGATTGTGATGCCTCCTACTTTGGTTTTCTTTTTCAAGATTGCTTTGGCTATTTTGGAGTCTTTTCTGGTTCCATACAAATTTTAGGATTGTTTGTTCTAGCTCTGTAAAGAATGCTGGTGTTGGTTTGATAGGGATTGCACTGAATATGTAGAGAAAAAGATGTAGGGAAAATACGTAGGGAAAAAGAAAAAAAAAGAAAAAAGAAGGAAAACATTTGAAAATCTGAAAAAAATGAATACAGTGAAATAGAATAAAATGAAATGATGGAAGTAAAATAGAATTTGAAAAACTTACAAAAAATATAGTAGAAAAAATTAAATATATTTTTAATAAAAGTTGAAAGGAAAGATAAATGTTTTCTCTTTCTGTATTCAAGAAAAAGAGACGGGAAAAAAAAGAAAAAGAAAATTGAATAGGTGAATAGATGGACTAGTGAACAAACTGAAATACAATTGAAATTACATTGTTTTCCCCTAGAAGTCAAACTATGAAGCACTTTATAGCCGGTAAAGTAAGTAGGCAGAGAGATTTGTGTTCATGAAAGAGCAAGGTTGGCCCAGTTGGGCACAGCTTAGCATAACGGCTCTGTTGTCCACTAGATGTCACTGCTTAGCTTACTGGGGTGGATTGTTGTGGTGCTTGTAGGTGTTTATGCGCATGTGTGGGAGGGGTGAAAAATGGCATCACTCAGCTACTCAGTCTGTAGTATTAGACTTTATTCTCCCTGATCAGCAGTCACGCACCTGTCCTTTGTCTCCGGCTTTGGTCCAGTCTCTGCTTTTATACTGTCCTTGACCAAGCCGTCAGGTTGCCAGGTGGCATCTCCCTCCTGAGTTTTGTCTCAGATGTAGCTGTGTTTCCTGACCCCTCACTTCTGAGGGACTATGGTTTTGACCCGCTTTGACCCTCTGCAGGAGGATCTCACCAAGCAGTGGCCAGGTGCCAGCAGCACCCAGGAACATTTGTGGGAGCGTGCTGTTGCCGATGCCCAGAGACTGCAGCTGGGTGCCACCTACCCCAGAAAAAGCTCATGTGATCGTATAGCAGCAGTGCTTCAGGGATTGTGGAAAATCACAACACACATCTGGCACCAGGCTTTACGCTTAATGACCTTGTTCTAGCACCAGCTAATGTGGTTGTTCCCTGGGGTCTTCTAGGACCTCTGGAGTCTGCTGGGGTGGCTGCACAGCCTCTACCAAATGTCCTCCCAGCAGGGGAACCGCCTCTCCCCTTGTGGCCCAAGGACCTCTGGACCTCACTCTGCTCCTGGGGATTTGCCCTTGCCGCCAGAGCACTGCCCAGCATTGAGCTGTGGAGTTTCAGACTCTGTGCTCCCCCTGTTTATAGAGTCTTAACGAAATTTAAACCCTCTCCTTTCTCCTTTCTCCCTTTTTTGTTCAGTCTCTGTGTCTGTTTCTACTTTTCCAGTTTCCAGCTGCTTTTTGGGGGGGGGGGTTTGGGGGGGATAGGGAGTGCTTCTCCCTCCCCCCCTCCTATCTTGGTCCTCTCCGCAAGCACAGACAGCTCCCTGCCCTCCACTGCTTCTCTCTCCCCCAGTTCACCTCTCCACCCTGCGTACCTGCTGAGTTCTGTGGTTCAGATTGTGCAGATTGTTGTGTTAGTCCTCAAATCAGTTTTCTAGGTGTGCAATGATGGTTTAGTGTTGATCTGGCTGTATTTCATGGATGCAAGATGCAAAAATATCTTCCGTGCTGTTCTACCATCTTGGCTCCTCCCCCACTAATTAATTTTAGATATTTCTTTTCTTACATGCTTCCAATGCTGTAAGTTTTCCTCTAAGCACTGCTTTCACTGCATCCCACAAGTTTTGACCAATTTTTCATTTAATTCAAAATGTCTTGAGACTTCTTTGACCCATGTTGTTTTGTGTTTCATATGTATTCACACACTTATATACATATCCACATATGCATAAACATACATAATTGAATATGTTGTTATTTTTACTTCTGTTAGGTCAGTTAATAATAAAAATTTTTATTTTACTATCATTTATTCTATCTTCCATTCTCTACCTTTATGTAGAACTAAGTTTTTCTGACCTAGATTAGTTTTCTTCTCTCTGGAGAACTTTTAAATTTCTTGTAACCAGGTCTTCTGACAACAAATCCTCTCAATTTTTGTTTGCCTAAGAAAGTCTTGATGTCTCCTTCACTTTGGAAAGGTAGTTGCGCAGGGTTCAGAATTTTAGGCCAGTGGTTTCTTTTCTCTCAGCAGTTGAAATATTTCCATTCAGTCTCTTCTTGCTTGCATGGTTTCTGAGAAATCAGATATAGTTCTTATTTTTGTTTTTTTAGAGGTAAGTTGTTTTTTTCCTCTGACTTCTTTTGAGCTTAATTTTCTTTATTTTTTTGTTTTCTGTAGTTTGAAAATGATGTGCCTACGTATAGTTTTTTTTTTTTTTTTCACGTTTATCATGCTTGGTGTTCTCTGTGCTCCTTGCACCTGTGGTTTGATGTTTGATATTTTGGGTAAAGTGTAAAGTATTTTTTTTTAATGTTTGTTTATTTTGAGAGAGAGAGAGAGAGAGAGAGAGAGAGAGAGCGAGCACATGGGACAGAGAAAGAGGGGGAGAGAGAGAGAATCCCAAGCAGGTTCCATGCTGACAGCACAGATCCCGATGTGGAGCTCAATCCTGTGAACTGGGAGATCATGACTCAAACTGAAATCAAGAGTTGGCCACTTCCCTGACTGAGCTACCCAGGCGTCCCATAATTTTTTCTTGATGGCCAGGCATGCTGTACTTGTTAAAATGAACTGTTGTAAATAGGCTTTCAGTAATGTGGTGGTAAAGTGTTTGTGTAGAAGTGTTTTATAGTCCAGCAATTAGGGCTCAGTCTTTTTTCCTCTAGCTTTATTGAGGTATAATGGAAAAAAATTATTTATACTTACAGTATGCAATTTAATGTTTTGGTATACATATACATTGTGAGATAATTACCCAATCAATGTAATTAACATATCTATCACAGCATATAGGTGCCTCCCCCACCCCTGCCTTTTTTTTTTTTTTTGGTGGGTAAGTACACTTATAATGTACCCTGTTAGTAAATTTCAAGTATATAATACATTATGGTTATCATATCGCTGTACATTTGCTCTCAGAACTTATTTATGTCTTTGTCTTTTTTGTGATCCTGTGTCTCTGAACTTTTCTCAAGTGATTTTTACCCCTCACCCCTATTAGGTAAGGACAGGATGACTGAAGGGAGCTGTAGCTGGGTATTTCCCCTTCCCTACATCACTTTAGTTCTGATAATTCTTAAGGAGGTTAGGCTTTGCTTAAACAATTTCTCCTTAGAACAAACTTTGTTAAGAAGAACAAAGTGGTCTGGTGTATTTCATATTGCTTCCTTTTTCCCTTTTCTTTTAAAAGAACCAGGGGATTTTTCTCTGACCATGAAGACTTGGTAGAGCTCCAAAAGGGAATACTCAAAAAAACTGGGCAACTTCAACAACTGGTTCCCTTTGGATTTTTTAGTCTCAACAATTGTCTACACTGAGCCTCCAGCAATTTGTCAGTCATACTTCAGCTTGGGTTTCCCACACCACCGTTCCCTGCAGTGGTCTTTCTCTCTCTGCTTTGGCTTTCTGCTTCAGTCAGTTTTGATTCTCTGTATTCACCTGCCTGTTTTCAGTTTGGGGGGCAGTGGTTTGTTCTGTGACTTCACTTCTTTTACGGCTCTAAGAGGAGTTGTTGACTTTTCAGTTTACACAGACCAGTGGATTTCAAGCTTCTTACACAGTTTGGAGTAGAAACCAAAAGTGCTCTTTACTTTTCTAATAAACATTTGGCTATGTTTTTTAGGTGATCATATAATCTGCAAATATGGGCAATTTTTTAAAGTTTTTTTAAAGTATTTAGTTTTGAGAGAGAGAGAGAGGACCATGTGAGCAGAGGAAGAGGGGCAGAGAGAGGGAGAGACACAGAATCTGAAGCAGGCTCCAGGCTCTGTACTATCAGTGCAGAGCCTGACACGGGGCTTGAACTCATAAACCATGGGATCATGACTTGAGCTGAATTGAAGTCAGAAGTTTAACCAACCGAGCCACCCACGTACCCTTGGGGGATTTTTAATCACCACTTATTTTTTTTCTTCCCCTCCTCTTCAATCATATTATTGTAATTTTAATTTTTTTTATCTGCTCCTGGTAATGTCCTGTATCTGGCTATAATAGAAATGCCTCAGGTGTTTCACTTTGTGGTATGATAATAGCTATTCAGTTTTTAATAGCCTTTCTCAGGTTAAGCAAACACCTTCTTTCTTTTTTTTAAATTTAATTAAAGAAGTACTTTTCTAACACTTCCTTACCGCTTGTATTTTCAAGAATTGATGTCGAATTTTTCAAAAAAGTTTTTAAGCATTGTTAAAGGTAGTTAAGTTTTTTTGAAACTCTCTTGATCCAGTTTAGTTCCATTTTTCAACATTTGAATCTTGGGCTACAAAATAATATGAAAATATCTATGTAAAAGTAATATTGTTCTACTTGATTAAATTTACCAAATTTGTATTTAAGCTTCTGCTCCTCCTCTGTTTCTGTGTATTTTCATTCATAGACACATTCTCATGTTGCTACTTGTACAGTCTGTAATGCTATTTAATAATACTATTTAGATGGTGAACTCCTTGAAGAAAGGGATGGGTGAACTTCTTCAGGAAAGAAGTGTCACTTGCATTGAAGTAGTCTTCTTTCGGGAAAACTATTCTTTTCCCTCCCATTACCCGCCCCCCACCCCCCAACCCCGCATCCCCCCTTTTATTTACCTCTATTCATCCTTCAACTCTCTTAGGATACAGAGTATATACCTGGTTCCTGGAAAGACTGGTCACTCTGATATCTCAGGTAGTCTTCTTTGAATGACACATAACTGGGAAAAGTTTTATATTTTGGGGGGTTTGCTTGGATTTTAAAAATGTACTTGCTTGTACCTCTCTCTGTCACTAGAGATGCTTCTGGAGTCTTATATGTTTATTTACCCACGTCAAAATTACTTGACCACAAGGATGCAGGGGAATGACTATTTCTGGAGGAAGGGAACTCAGAGAAGAAAGGTAGAAGAAGCTGGGGAACTGAAATTTTTCCATTTTAATCTTGCTTAGGACTAAAATTTTATAAGACCCTTTTGTTTTCATAGAGACTTCATTGATAATGGCACATTAGTAAATTGAAAGTAAGATTGGGAGTTTGTATACTTTATTCTTTATTTACTCAACAGTAAAATACATATTGAGCACTTATTATATCTCAGATAACATTCTATTTGATATAATAGTGAGCAAGGAGAACAAATCCCTTCTTATGTGGAACATGAATTCTGTTAATAGGAGACAAACAACAAATACCTAAGAAATAAGTAAATAAATAATTTCAGATAGTCCTAAACATTATGATGAAAATAAAACCAGGAAAAGAAATAGAGTGTAATAAAATAGGAAGGAGGGAAGCTGGATGTAGGGACTACTTTAAGATTGGGTGACTCCTCTTTGAGGAGATTCATGTTGGTTTATACTTAAGAAGGAAGGCTTAATGTCTCAGTGTCTCAGAGGAGTATCCAAGTAAAGGAAACAATAAATGCAGAGGCTCTGGGGTGCAGGGAAGCTGTTTAAGAGTGGAAAGGACGCTGTTGTGGTTGGAGATAGTAGCTAGGAAAGGAGTCAGAGAGATACAGTCTTAGGAGCTAAGGTATGGAGCTACTAAAAGATTTTAGATTGCAAGCTGTCTTAAATGAATGATTTTGCTGTGACTATTGAGTTCTTGTGTTAGTGCTTTTCTTTGGAATTTAATTTTTAAGGTTATCTATAGTCTAAGACTAGAGTAATTGTCTATATTGTCTGAAGTGATAGAAAAGAAAAACTTGTGGATAAAAATTTATGTTGGCACATTTTCAGTTAATTTATTCAAAGTTAAGGTTAGTTTTTTTATAGTTTAAATAAGTAGTTATTCCCAAATACAGCTACATATCAGAACTACTTCAGAAGTTTGAAATACAGGTTTCCTAAGCTTCATCCCTTAGGAATCAGGGAGTGGACCTTGGGAATC